TAAACAATCCGCTGAAGTGAAGCCGCTAACTGTCGTATGTTTGTGCGTACAGCCGGAGAAAACCAGGCAACGAACGCAGCCTTGAGTCCATGCATCACTATCACAAGGTCAGGAGACAGCTCATACATTTCTCTGTGACATTGACCAGGGGATGTAAGTCAAACACACTCAGGTGTGCCATGTTGCAACACCAAAACACACACGTGATTTATCATAAAAGAACAGTAAAAATCGATTGGATGGAGGGGGGTGGTCCTCATACTCATGTCACTTAGATACCGTTAATATCTCATGGTTGTCTGCAGGTTTGCAGGTTTGGCTATTTTATTCTCCTTCTTTAATTGTGCATAAATTTACATTGTTCTGTCCTACTTTTTAACTGCCCCTTTCATCAATTTTTTCAAATAATGGTAATGTGTAACATCTATGTGGTATTCACGTTCATTTGTGGCATGTTGTTAGCCACCCACTGTGTGTAGTCATGTACAAATAAAAAATGTGAGGCTGAACAGGACTTGTTGAGCATTTTGTTTGTTGTTTTTTTCATGCTTGTTTAGCCCTTTCAACCTCCAAGGATTCTGAGAAACAGATTTGTGTTCCTCTTCAGTCATCAGAAAAGAACCCTCCATTTTCAAAGGTATGTTGTTTGTGTCCATTCATCTTCCATTTGATTAACATATTTACCCATCAACCCTGCTTAATGTAAGTATCATCAGTCCCAATTTAATTAATTTCAGCTTTGTTCAAAGCAAAAATGGGGAATATGACCATGAATACTGAGAATGTATGAAGCTAGTAGCCAGTTATCACCCAGGTCTGGCAATTCCAGGAAGCTGTTTTCTTCAGCGTGAGTCAGACTAAACCCATTTCCATTTTCAGTAAATATGATTATTCAGTTCTGCAACAATATGCTTCTAGCTATTGTTGGAGGAAAAAAAGTGGGGTTAAACGAGAGAGAAAGAAAAGTTCTGTGAACATCCTTTCAAAAACAAACAACTGCAATGAGGAAAAAGATTAAAATTGACCCAAAAGAGTGAAAAAAACAGACACATTGCTCTTTCGGTGACCTTTTACTCCAGAAGAACTGCGGAATGGAAAAGCGAGAAAGCTCTTGGGTGAAAAACATATTTTGTGAGTCGGGTTGAAAACAATATGGTGCAGCCTCTCAGCCTACACACAGCCAAACAATGCAGTGAATCCTGGAAATACACATTTTGCTTCACGTTCTGCTGTTTTTCACACACAGATGCTCTTTGTCACATTGTTTTTTCCATTGTGAAATATCAAACTTATCCATTTATTTCACTGCTTTTTCAGGAGCTTCTAGATAAACTCTGTGAGCTGCATATGGGCAATCTAAACGTTTTATAATAGCAATGGCACAGGGGGGATGGAAAGAGTCCAGAACGAGAAGGAGATGCGCTCTGATATTTAGGTCAGGCCAATGCACTAAAAGGCATGGAGACAAATTTTCCGAAAGGCTTTCATCTAACCAGCAACTTGTCTTCTGACTGACACAAACAGTGTGTGCCCAGTCATCACTAAAACTCTCCTTAACCTTTGTTACTTTTCATCCAGTGGGCTCTATTTCCACCCAATCTCCTTAAATGGATAAGAAGCACTTTCTCCTATTTCGTTTTAATTCAATTGAGCCCGCCATAAATTTACTTGAGAGCCTTTAATTAAATGTTGTTCCAGTTTTGTTGCTCAGGGAATGAAAATTTTGATTTTACATCAGGGTTTTTGGCCCCATTCTTTCTGATTTCAAAGAGTTGCTCCTGGTACGTTGCCTCGGCACATTTCTGAAGTTTCATGGCGGGGGAAAACATAAAAGAGCATTCTTAGGTCTCAATAACTGCTAGTTTTATGAACATTTGTGTCAAAATAGAACAGAAAACACATAATAAAAAGGGTAATTCAAACTAACCAGAGCTGGATATTGTCAGTATTAAGATCATGCTAAATTACATAGCAGCTATCTAGTAGCTTTATTGTTTTAAATGCTAAATTGCTCTTGACTACAATATTCAAAGTACAACTGAACTTCATAGCATTTAAAAACAAACAGTATATTTATTAGAAGCCATCTTGCTACCATATGATATGTAATATTTATAGTATGTTTTACCTTCAATGGCATCAGAACCAATTATATTTCACTGGTGGAGTGAAAGGATAGAGCCTCCAGCCAGGCAGTTAGTGGGCAGCACACCAGACAGCACCAGAGAGCACAGATGCTACAGGAAAAATGAAAAAAAAAAAAAGCAGCCTGCAGTTTTACATCAGATTTCTCGGCTGAATCTGGCGGTAAACGCGCGGCAATCAGAATTTAATGGCGTGCAACTGTCTCCCACGCGTTCGGTGTGTGTCCCACACATGCATCCACTTTTAAAGGCCAAGCAGCAGTATCGAAAAGTTGGTCTTAGTGAGGCAAAAGCCTGTGAACATCTCCACGAAAAGGCTCAGGCATAAATTCAGAGGCCAGGATGGCAGGATTGGAACAGAGTGGGGGTCTTGGACTGATGATACAGGGGGGGTTGGATGTCTAACGGGCGGAGCACAGGGCAGATGTAGGGAGGCTACCACCATGGCATGGAAAAGGGAATGAAAAAAGAGAAAAAAACGGGCTCTCAAAACGAGGGGAGAGTGTGGACGATGCATTCTGTCAGGTCTCCAATCTGTCAGAGGAGTGCCTGCGGTCCCCTCCGGCCACACAACACAGCACTGACTCATTTTGTGTTCTTTCGCTCACAAAGCCTGTCCTCATGCACCCTCTTGTCCCCAGCAGTGCACTCCACTGCAAAGTGATTCTGCCAAAGGGAGAAAATAGATTGTTTTGTTGCTCTCTGCACTGGACCACGCATTTTTTTGTTGCAGCTCGCCACTTTGGTTGAGAACTATCAACAGTAGCAGCATCCTACAGTTTTATCAAAATGCTGTTTTAATCATTACACTTTGTGTTGACATGTGTGTAGTGTTTCATGTGCATAGTTCATTTTCTGACAAACTGGTTTTGGAGCTGCTGCAAGAGATTTCCATGGATCTGCACTGACATCTGCTGGAAAAGCTTTAGCACTGCATCCACTTTAAAAAAAAAAAGCTTCTTTTTTTCTGTGTTGTACATTTAGACTCAAAGCATAACAGTGTCTTTTATGTGTGTATTGTTAATTTGAGGCAGGGCCAAAAATGGCCGAGGCATTGTTGTGGTTTTGTTCCATTTCCTGCTTTATTGCTCTACAGGGTATGATGAAAGTTTCCCCAAATCATCTCCAGACAACAGTGAGAGTAAACTTAGCCCCGATGACACTCGGCTTATGAGGCTTGTGGCAAATCCTTGTTAAAGGTCCCTCCTGTGAGTATCTCTCACATGATGGTGCATTCCTTATAACAGGCTGCTCTCTTATCCTCACAGGAGCCAATGCCAAATGTGACACACACACACACACTCATCGTGTTATTTTTCTGTCCACTGGCCTGGAGCAGTCATTCGCTCTTCCTTTTACTCTAAGACATCAAAATTAGATGCCTAACGTCAAACTAGCTGTGCCACGAAACCCTAAAAAGACAAGTCTCGATCCGGGCAAAAGCCACAGAGCAAAACGTAGGCGCTCATAAGAATGCCGGTCTCTCGGAGCACGTATAATCTTGTACATACTGTGTAATGTGAGAGGACGGGCGAGGAGGGGGCATCAACTCATGATGGAGGGCTCTCATTTTAGTCCTGTATCACAAGGCTGGTGGTGTGATCCAGAGAGTCAGTTATCCACGTCCACCTCTGGAACCCAGACCGACCTGATGCGAACTGGACAGCTTTTCTCAGCTATACTAAGGGGAAAACTACACAAATCGAAAACCTTTTGTGTTCTACATCCACCTGAGTTGCACCAATGTTTTTATTGTTACTGTACTCCATAGAATGGCTCCTCCTGACAGTTAATGTACCTCATTTCTATGAGTCCATCAGTTATTTTCTTGCATTGAACGGTCTCTAAGCCGTACAGGTTGTGAGTTAGCCTCACACCTCTGGGGAACCCGTCTTAATTGAGATCCCATCCTGGTATCTCAGCTTCTTCTCCTCCTCACTGCTGCTTTTCGTACCAGCTCTGCAGTGCCCTGTGGAGAGTGGCGCTCCACCGTGCCACGGCTGGCTTTCTGCCAGCTAGCTAAAGGTGCCAACATGAAATCGGAGCCAGCTTACAAAAGGTCAGCATGCCCCAGACGGGATCAAGTAACTCCTACTGAACTGCACTGTCACTCAAGACGGCGTTTCGATGCCAGCAGCTTCGCAGAGACCAGGACTACGTGAGCATAGTGCCAAAAGAAAGTCGAGTTAGTCTGCATGGTTATGAAATGCATTGCAACATATTTATCCACCTTCAAATTCCTAATATTTTGTAAGCGCATTGTGACATATTTATCAGTCTTTAAAGCAGCAATATTATAACAATGATGTGACTCAATGATGAATCTATGAAAAGGATGTTTTTATTTTCTAAAAAATCCTTCGATGACATGAATTTCTTTATTGGAAGAAAATCAAGGAAAGTCACTTTGTTCCATTTGGTAAACCGTGAAGTGAAATTGGGCCCATACAACATCATACACACAACTCTTCACACAAACTCCGTGTTTGCATTGGCGTTCGGCTACAGGTTGCTGATCGAATCAGCTCTGGTTTAGCTCGACTTCATGAGCCAGCAGTTAAAGGGCCAAAATAAGAAACTGCAATCAAGTACAAATATGTGAATCACCCCACTCACAACAAAACAAAAGAGAGAGAATACGTTTTTCCTCTGTTTTACGTTAGCTCGCTAGCTGTTGCACTAAATCACATGAGAGTTGGCATATGAAGACACACACTCAAACACACACTCCACCAGCTTAGTTGATAGTTTTTCTTTGGATCACAACTACTATTCGATTTGAATAGTACAACTACTATTGAATAGTACAACTACTATTCAAACCGAATAGTAGTTGTCCCAAACCGAAATCTGGGCCTATCCCTCTGCAGCCTTCTCTGCCATCGCCTGGTGTCTCTTCCACTTGAGAATCCACCAACACAATGAAAACATGTAGAGGGGGAAGAGAGCGGGGAAATCGTAGAGGAATACAATGACAAAGAAACCACTAACCAAGAAGGTGTAGATGAGGCGTTTGGTGATGTGACTGAGGGCGAACAAGGCAGTCCACCACAGAAGAGCATCAGGCTCTTTCGCTTTCTCAGAAGAGCTCAGATGTTTGCCAAACTGATGGGCCGATTGATCAGGACTCTCTTTTTCATGCTCCCCCGTTTGGCAAGCTGCCTCCTGAGGGTTGACTGGTCTCTCCTTAATGGGAGAGTGGTGGTTCTCCTGGTCTTGGGCTGGTTCAGTCAGTGGGGTGTTTTGACCGAGATGAGCTCTCGAATCCAAATCGATCTGCAACTCACGGAAAACGGGAGTCGGCTCTTTAGTGGTAAGTGACTGACTTCCGTCTTTGGGAGAGTACTCGCTGCTTTCAGCCAGTGACGTTTGCTCCAGGCCTCGACACAGCCTCGATTTCAGATCTGTTTCTGGCTCCGTCAAGGAAAATACACCCGAATCAAAAGTGTCACTCAAGTCTTTCTGCGAAACAAGATGGCAGCCTGGTGTACTATCTGTCAGCCCGCTCCTCATTTCATCAACGCTGTTTGCATCACTTCTTAAAGGCTGAACCTCGGGAACGAATACCTCTTCCCAAATCCTCCTCACCAGATCTTCTCCAAATCTTTCGATGAACATCTGCTCCAACCCCGGTTCTATTACTTCAAGTGATGCTCTATTTTCTGCTGTAATGGGGTCTTTTGTGCCGTCTGACTGTTTTTTATCTTCACCCCAAGGTGAGCTCTCAACTTCAACTGACAACTCGTCTTTCATTGCACTCTCCCTCTGCCCTTTAGGGTTCTCCACATTATCCATCGACTCCCCTGATGCCTCCATTTTCAGCTTCCCAACACTCACCCTCTCATCTTCCTGACTACCTTCCTCTATTTTTTCTGACATCTCATGTTGGCTCCCTGTTGAAAAACCTCTCTTCGTCCCATTCTGCACTGACACAACTTCTTCTAAGCTTATTTCACTACTCACATCCTCTTTTTGACCCTCCAAGTGAGTCGGTTTGAATTCAACCAGTTCCAAGAGCTTTGGGTTGCATTCATCTGCTGGACAGGGGCCGAGTGTTTCGCGATTCTTTTCAAAAGCCTCCTCCAATTCCGCTGTGGGTTTTTTATGGGCCGAGGGGTTTATTTCCCCTCCTTCCATTGCCCCTCCATCACAGCTGAAGCATTTTCTCTCTGCTATCTGATTTACGTTCGATGCTTGTTCACCTGTTTCAGATTTCAGCTCGGCACTTTGATCTATCTGTGTCGGTGCTGAGTCCCCCCTCTTCTGAACACATTCTCCCAAAGTAAATGATGGGCTTCCCATCTGCCCGGAGCGAAGAAGCTGCGAACCTTTGGTGTTAAGTTGCTCATCTAATGTCTTTATCATTCTCATGTCTGTGCCGATTTGCCTTTCTGTTTCCTTGCATGCTGTCTTTTTGAATATCTCCATTTGTTGGTGATTAGATGGAACATTCTCATTTGCTTCTGTTGCAACTGTTTGGTTTTGCTGCAGATTTCCCTCCAAATTCTCCCGTACCACTTCATTTGTGCGCCTCGTGGAGTCTTCGCTCTCTTTGGTTTTCCCTGCTCTGAATGTCCCCTCTCCTTTCTTCTCCGCGTGGCTCATCGTGATCCCCTCCTCCACTCCTTGTCTGGATGTGGAAAAGTCACACCTCGCCCCGTCCTTTGTCTCCTGGCTGATTGTCTCCCTAAATGCCAGTATGTCATCTCCCGCATTGTGCGCTGTACCTGTAACCTCCCCATCCTCGCTGGAAGAAAGAGCCTCATCCTCCCTTGCTCCCTGTGAGATCCTATCAATAGCGCTGGCATTCTGAGACTCTGGCATTGCTGTCATGTCTGTTGTCTCCAACTCCCCAGAGCTTGTTACCAAGTCAGCTGTGTGCAATGTGCGGGGCTCGTCTCCAGCTCTTCCCTGGGCTCTTTCCATTATTCCCTTGCTTTCCCGCTCCCCGTCCTCGTGCTTGTGACACTCTTTCGGACTGTCAACAGCGTCCTCGGACACGGGCGGTGCCCTCTCGAGGCTAAATTCCCGCGGAGTGTCTGTTACAGAGTTTGTCTGTGACCTTTGGGATGCATCCCGTGCTTCTGCGATGTCATCTCCCGGGCTGCCGACACATGCCTCAACAGGCCGACGATCTTCCGCGTTCAAGGCACCCGCCACCGACAGGGTTCCGCCCGCGAGCTCTGCAAACTCTTGACTTCTGGCTGCATTTTGAATGCGGGGCTCCTTATCGTTTGAGAGTGACACCAGTGCTGCTGCCTGCAGCCACTCTGACTCTGGAACATCAGAGCGGTCCCTGTGGCCGGGCCCATTAGGAAAAACCTGCCAAACATCACTCACAGAGGGCTTCTCACTGCTGCTGGCTTTAGGAATAGACTCCCACGTATCATTAACCGCAGGCCTGTTTTCTTTGGACGCTTTTGACAAAGTCACTTTAGCACCTCCAGTCAGGATGTCATCCGCAGCCCCCCACTGCTGCTGAGCATCACTGTTCCAGTCCAGTGGAAGCAGAGGAATCTGGTGGTAGGTGAGTACTGGGGGACTCTCACTCGACTGCACCTTTTGGCTTTTATGGTCAATGCCGGTTGCTTCCCCCAGGGCTGATGTCGCATGTGGCTTTCCACCATAGGCTGAATTATCCGGAGGTGCCTTCGGGAGCTGTTGCCGCTTCTTAAAGAAGTGGTCCTGAACATGTGCCAGACGGGTTGCCTTGCGTCTCCTTTTGATGCTTTCCACCTGCCAGGAAGTCCACAGGTCACAGGTCAGTTCAAGTGTCAACTTAAACTACAACTCGTGGCCACCTGACGTTAGTCTTTAAGGTCAGCCAGTCATCTTTTCATATTTAACATTACTGTGATGATGCAAGTGTTGCGAGGCCTCTTTTTCCACCATGCGTACACGTAGGCTGCATTTATTCTTAGTGCTTTGCACGTGAGTGTTTTCAGGCTTCGTCTCAAGTATCAGTTTAGCTGACTTTGCACATCTCCCCGAGGCTCACTCAGAATTGCACCGAGATACAAATCTCTGCCTCAGTTACTGCTCATACCTCTACAGAGAGAACATACAGTGTGTAATTTTGCTACAAAACCATAAATTTTAGTTTTTTTTTTTGGCAGGCAGCTTTTTAACATTTGCTGTTCCAGACTTCAATAGATTAGATAAACTCCATGAACCTCACCCAAAGTTTGTTCTCTTCACAAGAGCTGCCCATCTTCTCACTGACAGTCTTCTTTGCTTTAAGTGGAGTGTCTGATTCTGCAAGATAAAAAAGACATCAGGGGTGAAAACTGCATGCATGCTTGTTTATACATTGGCAAAATGCACCATCTTAGATTATATGTACTGTATACATACCTGCAGCTATTGCATTAGTGTAAATGGTCTCCTTGGTCTTTTCTTCTGTGCTTCCATTCCTGTGTTTCAAAATGATAAAAAGCACAGAAATTTTGGAAAGTTGAAAAGAGCAGCAGACTTCAGTCTTCACTACACAGGAACGCGCCCTCAATAGTAACATGTATGCACAAACAACGGCTTTATGCCCATGCAGGGATCGCAGCTGCACAGGATTCACGTTCCGACTGGTTTGCAGTTATGCAAATGTTGACGAGGAGGTATCATTCAAGAAGAGGGATTCTGGTCAGTTGTGATAAAAGAGGGATGTCTATTTATCCACTCTAGCGAGACCAAACCTGCACAGAAACCGCGCCATAAAAGGACAACATGTGTAATGTAACCACCTCATCGTGAGTAGTTACATCACAGCTTAGTGTAAACAGACAATGGCCTAATTAGCAGGTTTGATTGCCTTAAAACTTCATCTAATGAGAAGAACAGCACAGTGTAAACAGACCGCTCGCTCTGGATCAGATTGCACCGTGGGGCCTTCTCTTGTTTCAACTTGATTTTACCAGGTGCTCCAGAAAATTCCTTTATGGATTGAAGACTCCATTTCATTACAGCGCAGATGACTTTTTTTGTATTGACTTTGTATCTGAGGTTTGCGTCACACGGGCTCACCTGTTCGCCCTCAGACTGCTCTTCTTGCTCCTATAGCTGCTGGACTCCTCGTGTGTTTGAGCCCCGTGTTCTTTCACAAGTCCCCTTTGGTGGCAGAACAGCACATAGTTCATATCCTTGTTGTTTGCCCAGAACGTTCCCACCGAAGTCTCGTAACGGAGACAGAACTCTATCCTGACGCCCTCCTTGTCAAAGGGAGGAACCAGGGTGTACCGGAAGGTGAACCTGTCGGTTTTCCTGTCGCTGGACCCGGGCACGTACTCGGCCAGCAGGTCGAAGAAGCTGCCCCAGCGGTCCAGGCTCACGCGGGCGTAGACGCTCTTGCTGTAGCAGAGGTTGGCCACCCGGACGTGGCCGCGGAGGGTGGAGGTTCCCGGGAGGAGCTCGATGCTCTCCAGCTCCACCATCTGGGCCTGGAGCCTCTGCTCCAGCTCCTCCGGGGACGACGGGGCCGTGAACAGGCAGGAGAGATAGAACTCCTCTAAGGCATGGGCGGCCGGCCGGTCACCGGACCAGCTGACCGGCTCCGGCTCCGTGGCTTCCACGTTGTCGAACTCCTTCACCGATACGAGATCGAGGCCGAACGCGTCGGCGAAAGACACCTTCCTGCGAACCACCGGCGGCGGTTCCGGTTCCGAGTCCTCGTCGGCCTCCTCCTCGGTGGAGCAGCCCGCCGAGGAGGAGGCCTCCATCCCTCCCTCATCCTGCTCCCCGCATTTCTCCTCTTCCTCCTCTTCCTCAGCCATGGCCTCTGACTCCTCCGGGGGCTGAAGGTAGAGAGCCTCCATAGTCCGCGATGCCGTTGGCCTGTCCTGCCGTCTGTCTGGCTGGACCAGAGTGCCCCGAGCCCGGCCCGGGTAAGACTGTAGAAGGGGGAGCAGGAAGAGGACGTGACTTGACAGATGGAGTTAGGTTACAGCTGAACACTGTGAGTCCGAGCCAGGACCTATTAATAGGACACAACTAGACCGAGGCTGGCCAGTTATCCTCTCAGTTATGCTCTCCCGATATTGTTGCTGATCAAAAAATAAATAGGATCACGGGACCCAAAGTTCTTCCAGCCAGAAACCAGGAGCCACTTTAAACCTCACAATTTATTCCTGCTTTTTCTTCGACACAGGGAATGCGCCAGTGGCTCGTTTTATTTGCAGGTGATTAGGCCTGCATGCATGATTAAACATGCTTTGGGTCACTTAAGGATCTGATCTCAGCAACTGCCCATCCTTTTAAAGTGTGCCCTAAAAGGAGAGAGCCATCCTCCCTGGTGACACTGCTGGGATGCCGGTGCAAACCACTGACCCCCACGTGGAAAGGAAGAAATGAAAGAGTGTCCCATCGTAAAGATATTAAATTATTATTTGTTTTATAGCTGGACTTGAAAGGCTTCTGCAGATCCCCCCGTGTTTCTACCACAAGAGGCAGCCTTCATTTTTATGGTTCACTGCATCTTGGAAGAGAAAATTGAACATTATTATGTTCCTGTAAGCAGACTGGACTTTTGGTTTCTCCTTTTCAATGTGTGTGTGTGTGTGTGCTTTCAAACCTTTCAAACAAAACCACCTTGGATGGGAAGTTTAATCCAACTAATCCCTGATAAGCAGCGTAACCAAACCACCAAATTCAGCAGATCTTGTAAGAAAGACTTTTGAGCTTGTTATTCAATCCCTCACAGGTAGGTGAGAGGGGTTTTTGTCCTCAAAGAAACTTTTGTCCTAAATCTAGAAGCAAAGGAAATGCATTCTCTAGACTTTAACTCCTGTTTGAATAACGAAAATTCTCCTTCCCTCCCTCTCTCTCTCTCATTACATATATACATATATACATACATATATGTATATATATTTATATATGTATATATATATATATACACTGTCTAGTACATGTCCGTAGATGGCACTATGTGATCAAAAATAAAAAATAAAATAGTACAATAAAACGAAGTTTGCCAACAAAAAGACTGATCTTATTTGAATTGTCTTTATGAAACTACAGTCTAATGTTACAAGTGTTCAAATGATAATAATAAAAAGATGGATATGAAGAAAAAGGAAAAAGAGAATGCAGGGTGAGTCCACCCTTCCAGCTTCCTGCAGCAGAACATGTCGAAAGATGGCCAGTAGATGGCAGCATAGCCCCATCCTAACTCCACCAGACTTCTTTTAGCTCCTAAACTGGAGCTTCACGTTTTCCAGATGCTGTTTCTCCCGATCACTGTTTGATGGAGTTTTCAATCGCAGTAAGGTTTTAAAACACAGAGAAGGACACGCACTCATAATGATTAGAACAGTTTGTCAGAATGAATGAATGAATTATGTTTTACCCCCTCTCTTTAAAGTCATATCAAAACAGAAACTGGTGGATTTCTAGGCCAGATTTAGGAGGTTTTAGATACATTTTATGAGACTATCATTGCGAACCAAAATATGAAACAGTATCAACATTTACATGGAAATAACAAATATTTAATTTATAACATATGCGTGTATTTATATACATGTGTGTATGTGTGTCTATAAATGCACATAAACGTGTATATATATGAATGTATTTTTTTATAGTTGAATAAATTGAGTTAAATAAAATAAAATAGCCGTATACCATTTATAGATCATGATAACACAGGGCTTTAAAAAAAAAGAGGGGTCAAACACTGACATGACAGGAGAAGGTAAACCATTTTACCTGCTCTTCAATAAATTGCTTCGTGCCCTAAAATGCTGAATAAACAGGCTGAAGAGCGACTTTATATCAAAACATAATGCGTAAAAAAAGGAGTAGAAACCCTCAAACAAAGCCATAATATAATCTAAACGCTATTTATAACAAAATACCATCATAAACTGATGATTTAAATGCAAAAATATTTCAGTCAGCAACAGTTAAGATTTTTTACTTTTTTATTTCTGTCTTGTCTGAAAATATAGTCTCAAAATGAATCACAATTTTAAACGGACGTGGTCCCTTTGCTCTAATTCCTACAATTATCGATCACAAATCAAATATACGCATTTATTGTTTAGGAAAATGTCGGTTTCCGTGCAGTTGGGGGGCTCAGTGTGATGGAAAACAATGACGTCTCTGATAGATGGAGCGAGCTGCTGTCCAAAGTTGGGGAAATGTAAAGAAGCAACAAAACCGGAGGGGGGGGGGGGCTTTTTTCCCCCCCCCCCCCCCCACACACACACACACTTCCCGGGGACACTGTCCGGGACCCAGAGCTCCGGCGTTCTAGCTCCCCGGGTGACGTGCACGCTTCCGTGCGCGTTTTGCCTCGCGTTTGAAAAAAAAAAGCGGAACAAACTTTTTTTTTTCTTTTTTTTTTAAATGACTTTTTTTTAATTTACTTAATAAAGCGGCCACTGACGTCATTTCGGGGGGTCGCAGAACGCCCAAAAATAATAACACACACCTCCGCGCACAAGCAAGTGCCTCCCCCGGGGGGGGTGTAGGGGGTGAGGGGGGGTGAGGGGGGGTGTTCTAGTCCCAAATATACTTGCTTGCCGGGATACAGCTTGATGTGTGTTTGAATCGTAACGAGGAGGGGAAAAAAAAAAGAAAAAAACAAGGCGCTTCTTCCTCGCATTGCGCGTCATTCAAACAGGACTCGGTGTACGGCTTTTCTCTCTGTTGCATTAGTAATAACCGAGAGACAGCAGGAGAAGAGTGTGTGTGTGTCTCCGAACAGCGGTGCCCAGCGGAGGAATATCCAGCTTTTTTTTTTTTATTTACTCTCTTGCCGCTTGTTGTTCGCTTTCTGCGCGTAATGGTGAACTTGGACAGTCACGTGTGAAGATCTCCGCAGGTATAGAGGACGACGACTTCTCACCTGGCGTGTTCCCCCCTTTTGGCTTCCACCGCGAGAGGGGAATTTTTTGGGGGTAAGTTTGCCAGCCCCGGGAGCTCCTTTCTTTTTCTTTTCTTTTTTCTGTCTTTTTTTTTCTCTTTTTTTTGCGCGTCTCCGGAGTGGAACCTCCGGTCACAAGTTATTTGGCCACTTGCTTCCATACCTGAGCCGCAACGTCCGGCTGTTAATTTACAAGTTGCGCGAGGACTTTATGTGCTTTTTTAATTGCAGAGCAGCCGCTGACAGGTTTCCTCCTCCTCCCACTGAGTGTTGGCTCTCTAGGCTTTAGACCCTATAGCCGGCTTTACTGTGTGTGAGCAGCAAGCGTTGACTTCTGAAATCCTGACTTTTTCTTTTAAAAGCTAAATAAACCTGAAATGAACCACTCTGATAAGCCCATCCAGGGCATTTTTTAAAGTGGACCTCAGTCTGAAGTCCCTTGATTGATAAATTCACCAAATAACCAGACCCTAAAATGATTTGTCCACTAATTTTGTAAGAGATAACGTCAGATTTAGGCTAAATTAATTTGTTGAACTCTTTTACTAAACTGTGTGTGTTTTCATTAGATATACGTAAATTAGATAAATAAAAAAGAGGAGGCGAGCAGTGATTTAATTCCAAACTGTTCAGTTTTATCAGTTTTTGTAGTTTTTCTCTTAGAAAATATTGGTTGTAATCTCAGAAATAGATGTGTAAAGCATACAATGCTCAATAAATGCCGTCATTATAATTTACCACATGCAAAAAAAATATTTCAAAATGAAATTATAAATAAATGCAATTGTATTTTAGAGTTCCGGAATGTTGGTGCTTGGTCTGCAGGACTGGTCGGGTTTAGTGTCACTAGATGTGATGATCAGAGCCTTACCGTGATTGCACGCTCCATTTCTATACTCCATCTTTTGTGCTGTTCCGAAACAAACAGGGGATGCTGCTCATTTTCATGGCGTTCTAACGAACTCTGAGAGCTGCTGTCTGACTCGTCATTCCATAATCAGCAGAGCTCGGAGACTCAACAAATGTAACTTTTCTTTTTTTTTCTTTTGTCGTTTTTCTTTGTGGAAAAAAGAAACTCTAACGAGGGGTTTTTGGGCCCGTCCTCTGATCGGCTTTCACCCCTGGATTAGCCAGAGCCACCCTCCTCCTTCTTCAAGCTGCAGGGTGCACAGGTGTTCCCCTCCTCAGCTATGCAGGTGTGGGCCAAGTCACCCCCCCCCCCCCCCCCCCCCACCCCCCCCCCACCCCAACTCACTCAGCAGCTCTCACTCTTCAAAGGCCGGGCGGCAATAAAAGCCTCTTGTGAAATATGTCAGCGACGGAGCACAATCAGCCCCTTTGTTGAAGTGCCCCTATAATCATTTCTTTAAGCGTGTTCAAAATGCCCGGTGTGCTGTTGTTTACCTTGTGTGCATGCGTGTGGGAAGTAGAAGTCACCAGATTTGGTAAAACAGGATGCGTTTTTTTTCTCCAACCAAGACCTGGAGAGAGAGAGAGAGAGAGAGAGCGGCCATTAGTCTCCCCCTCCCAGAGTGACCGTTGTTGGGGAGCAGCGCACTTATTACCCCGGCTCTCTCCTGTCTGCGTCCATTTTTTGATTGCTGCATTCATCATCGTGGTGCTGGTGTGCTGCTCCACATTATGGTAATAGGAAAATGAATGTCCTCCACAGGATTAATGTGTGTACCCTGTCATATGTTTCAATCATTTATCAAAATTAAGATTCTGCTTTTGGCCTCGACGGCCGGCTGGTCGTCGTGGCAGGATTTTTTATTTTTTTTACCTTTAGCTTCCGGAACAGCGTCTGGCAGCCTAGGCAGAGCAGGGATCTGCGCTTTGTGTTGGAGCGAAAGGGCTTTGCATGTATTTCCAACAGGGGCAGAAAACAGCTCATTTACACCAGTCGATTTCAGATGAGTTCTGTTTTCGAAAGACGGAAAAAAAAGAAACACTCCATTTTTGATTAGCTTTTGATTTGCATTATCCACCCCCCTGCCCTCCCTTCCCAACAACGCCTCGGTAATTACACAGACGACGTGCTCACCCCCTTGAGGTGTCACTACGTTTGTTAGGTTAGGACCAGAAGTGCCCGGAAACAGGAGCCCCCCCCACCCCAGTGTAGCCGTCACATCAGGCTAACTTTGCCCCGTTCCTGAACTTAAAGGCAATGAGTTGAGCTTTTTTCTAGCTGTTAACTCCATGGAAATGTTTCCATGACAACCTCCACGTAAGTTACAGTGACCTGAAGTGATCAAGTGCTTTCTTTTTTCCCCCCTGTTCCTCCTCTCCCTCAGCCCTCCCCGTGCTCCTCGCTTCTCTCCCCGCTAAGAATGGAATTTGTGTTGACAGTTTTGGCCTTTAATGGCACTTTTGTGCCGCTCAAAAGTATTTGTTTACCGGGGATCATATGCTGCGAGCTGTCAGCCTCGGAGAGATTGACTTCTGAAGATAAAAGAGTGCATTACATGCTTAAGAGGCCACCCCCTTCTGCACTGTAATTATCCACATCACGGTAATGATGTTTTGTGTGCCCCAGTTACTGGGAGTCTTGAGACAGCTCAGCCTTTTTTAGTTACGCTCTGGGTCACTTCTTAAGCCCGACGAGACGCCGTTGTCGACCAGGAACATTGTGACTCCTTGGCTTGAGAAAAGCGGAGCGGGGTGGGGACGCGGATTAAAAAGAGCAGATTGTGGGATGTGGGAAAAGTGAGGAACAACTCTCATTCACGTTTGCAGATTCTTTTATCTGGGCTCATAATCTCGTGCAAGAATTTGTTTGAGTTCCTTCCCCTGGATGTCATGTTTGTTGGGCCCAGTTAAGAAAGGCGGTGCGGTTAGATATATTTCCTCAAAGCAAAAATAATGAAGATTCGGTGTAGGATGCATGGCTTGTTTTTACATTATGCCCCACTTCAAGAATCCCAAAAGCCACAAACAAATGACCAAACGAAGCAATGAAGTGTGGCTTTTGGCTGGTTTGCTTTTGGGCTCTCGAACGGAAAGCAGACTTTAAGTCTGGTGTAAACAATGTTACCCAGATATATATGTAAAATAATTCAGGATTTCAGTTGTCTTGGCACTGGAGTCTTCACGGTGACCTCATATGAAATCCCCCCCTTCCTGCATCTCACACTCTGTTTATCCATTAAACTACAAATTCATTCCTGCTTTTTTTTTTCTCTCCTCTGCATTTCTTGTTGAGTTAACAACTGCGTGTGTTTACTTGCTGGTGGGGCATGGCTGCTTATATTTGAAGCCACTCTCAGTCAGTGTCCTCATGTGGAAAAAAAAAAG